TAAGCTCTAGAGATTGGCTTGCCTCTGCCTCCCAAGTATCTCCTTTTATTTTTTATTTTTTTCCTTTTGGTCTTTTGAGACAGGTTTTCTCTGTGTAGCCTTGGCTATCCTGGAACTCACTCTGTAGACTAGTGTGGCCTCAAACTCAGAGATCTGCCTGCCTCTGCCTCCCAAGTGCTGGGATTAAAGGTGTGTGCCTGAAAAGCTATTTTTATTGAAATAATCAGATGAAGTTCTTTTAAGAAATTATTATTTATTTTCACGTGTGTGGATGTTTTGCCTGCATGTATGTTTGTGTACCACATGCACACAGTGCTTATGGAGGACAGAAAAAGGCACTGGACTCCTGGGACTGGAGTTAAAGAGAGTTGGAGCTGCTGGGAATCAAAGCTGGGCCCATGGCAACAACAGCCAGTGCTGTTAACCACAGAGCCATCTCTCCAGCAAATGAAAACTTACAAGGTTGATTAGTCACAATATCATCTCTACTGAAATCTACTTCATACACACACAGAGATGAGAACTCAAGACCATGAACACAACAACCCTTCCAAAGCAAGAACAGCTCAGAATACTAAAATGTCATAAAGTCTTGGGGAAGAGTGTTCAAAAACAAGAATGGAGAAAGCATTTCCAGAAATTGGGTTTTGTAAGAAAGCTTTTGTTAGGTTTGGGCTACCAGTTTGCTTTAGGCGCTCCTTGGGCCACTATCACTTACAGGATCTTTTCCCTTTCACCTCAGAACCTGCTGCAAGAGAAATAGCAGACACCCTACTGAGAGTCCCCTTGGAAGTCTGGGATTCTCACTTCCCAAGGGAAATTTTAGAGAGTCTAAGCAAACAAAGGCTGCAGGTGTCACATCAACTAAAGGGCCAAAGCTCAGTAGTTCCTTCCCAGTTACATCCTGACTATAAGCACATACTCTAGGCTACTCACCAACTCCATGACATAGCAACTTCCTCTCCCTTTAAACCTGCAGAAAGGACTCCCACTCTGCCTCATAGTCCTGAACTTTCCTGACAGATCCCACCATGCTGTTATCTATCTATGGAGTTAATAGTTTGTCTGATAAATTTCTTAGGTGTTAATACTTTGTTCTGTTTTGGCTGAAGTCCAGAAATGCCAAAAACATTTGGAGTCCCTTATTCTTTCTCTGATTCCTAAATAATTTTAGTGTTTTGATTTTTGAAGTTGGGAAACAGGATTAGCAGCTTTGGGGGCCATTGAGAAAGAATCTATCTCTTGTAAACCATCAAATATCAGCTTTGCTATTTACTTCTTAGGCTTTAAATTACCATATATAAAAAAGTGGAGGTATCTAGGCTTTGTTGAGGCCTGTTAAGGCAAAGCTACTACTGCCTTTTGTTTAAAAGAATGAGTTACCTCTGGGGTTCATGGTCTTGGGGTGACTGGACTCTGTGCTCCTTCCTGGGTCTTAGTCACTCAGATTTGAAAGTCCTTGAGAGTTGTGGCTACAACACTGATTAGAATTTCAATGCCAGTGGGGAGGTTGGAGCTGAGTTAATACAAGACTAAAAAGAGAAAAACCATACCATTCATTACCTCTACACACACATCACACGTGAGGATTTTCACAAGAAAGTGAAGTGCGAAGAAATGACCAAACTATGATGCTTTTAGATTTCTTTATACAAAATACAGTAGCCTGTAAAGTCTGATGGGGTATAGATCTCTGGACCAGGGGCAGTAAACTCTAGAGACATCATGAAACGATATGAAGGTATCTGGGAGCCCATAAAAACAGTCAGAAGACAATTTATTCAGGCTTAGGACAACCCAGATGCTGGTGTCTTGTGGAGAAAACATTTCTACTCATGGAACCTTTATGGCTTGCTGCTTATAGGAAAAGACAGACCAAATGGTTCTTTCTGAAGCTGTCAGGGAGATCCAACCTTTGGACATTGTGACATGTGACATCTGCAGTTTTTGCTGGAGAATCACACAGTGGAGTTAGAACAACAACAACAAAAAATATCACACACAAGAAAATCTCATGTTTTAAGTAAATTTATGGTTTTGTGTTGGGCTGCTTTCCTAGCTGTCCTGAAGCATGTGTGCTTGAGGAGACACCTGTGAATACTTCTTTCAGGGATTCCAAATCATCAGTATGCCATTTTGGTGCATTTTCAGATGGTCCTTGCTTACCTATTTTTGTAGGCTGTAGATGCCAACATTTTAGCTGGGACCTCTTGAAAGATTTGGGTGTGGGACCTTGAAGAAAATGAGGTATATGCTGGATGGCTCCTGAGGAAAGCCTATTCTTTGTCCCTGGCCAGCATCAGCTGGGGATCAGGCATCAAGATGGGACTTGGTGCCAGAAGGCCAGGCTGACTGCCACAGTGGATGGTCAGGGTGGAGGGGTTACCTGGACACAAGGAGCCTTCCAGACTATTGAAGCACTCCTCTGGGAGCCAGAAGAGGGCTCTATGAAGGATGTCAAGATCTGCTTAAAACTATAGCAGGACTGTCCTTGTTGCTTTTTTGAGGAGGCACAGGGGCCAGGAACAGGGACGAGGCCTCTGCATTAATCCAGGGAGAGGCAAGAATCTTTCCAGGCAACACACGGCATGCTTCCTGGAACCAGGGAACCGGATCAATGATGATGAGTTCCAGATTGGAATCAGGTGGGCAACATCAGTGTGTATGGGAGAGGGTGCAGGCCCGGCAGAGGCCCAGTCCTAGCAGGTTTCTGTTGGAAAAGAGGGAATTAAGCTGTTAGCCTTGTGTTTGTGGTAGTTTGAATGCAATCTCCATAGGCAGTGGCACTATTAGGAGGTGTGGCTTTCTTGGCATGTCTAAGGCCTTTTGGAAGAAATGTGTCACTGTGGGGGTGGGCTTTAAGGTTTCCTATGCTCAGAATACCGCCCAGTGTTTCAGTTGGCTTTCTGTTACCTGTAAGATATAGGATTCTCAGCTACTACTCCAGTACCATGTCTGCCTGCATGCTGCCATGATCCCCATCATGATAATGAGCCAAACCTCTGAAACTGTAAGCTGTAAGCCACCCCAATTAAATGTTTTCCTTATGAGTTGCCATAGTCACAGTGTCTATTCATAGCAACTGAAACCCTAACTAGACAGTGTCAGTTAGGAAATGTGAGTAACAGACTTACAGTAGCTTAAACAAACAGGAATTTATTTTTATTTAGAAGGAGTTTGGAGATGGAGAGCTGTTGGCACTTGCTTGGTCAAATGATCACAGGGTTTATGTATCTCTTGACCTTTTCCTTAGGAGAACATGGTTGCTAATGTTGCAGGCATCATATCCCTAGTCAAGCAGGAAGAAGGGACAGAGGGAGGCTTTCAGCAAAGCATAGGATTTTCTAGAAGCTTCTGAGACTTCCACTTCAGTTTCTTTGTCCATGCCTGGTCACATGGTAACCCAACCCTGCAGAGGGGACTGAGAGCGAGAAGTTATATCTACAGTCTCTAGTAGGAGGTGGTGAGAAAGATGGAGTTGGGTCTAACAGATTGGCACAACATCAAGGTGCCTCCAGGTTCTCCTGGAGGACCTGCCTGTCCCTTGTGCTTTGGGGATGTCATCTTTGTGACTTTCCATTTCCTCCAGGAATGTCAGAATAGCACACATTCGGCAACCCTCAGACCCTCAGCACTATCTTTTTTTTTTTTTTTTTTTTTTTTTTTTTTTTTTTAACCCCCTCTGGTTTTTCAAAACAGCGTTTCTCTGTGGCTTTGGAGGCTGTCCTGGAACTAGCTCTTGTAGACCAGACTGGTCTTTAACACACTTAGATCCACCTGCCTCTGCCTCCTGAGTGCTGGGATTAAAGGTGTGCACCACCAACGCCCAGCCCTTAGCACTATCTTTATTTAGGAAACACACATTTTCAGCATAATACCTTGCCAATAGATACCTAAGACAGGGTCACTGCCTTTAGACCTTTAGAGCTGGAACATACACACATGCACGTGCACACACATGCATATGGAAGAGAGAGAGAGTCTATTTACACATCCCCGCTGGTACCATGCACTTAGACTCTCCATTCGTTGTCACACCCACACCCTGCTCTCGTCCCACCATCATTTCCTGGAGCCAGAGCACCCAGCACACCCACAGGGAAATCTTCGTTTCTGTGGCAATGCTGCCCCCATCCCCAACCCCCACAAAGGGCCTGAAAGCTGAGGCATGGTTTCATTGTTCAGGGGGAAGGATTCAGCCCTTTCTGTAGATCTTCAAAGTGGTGCAGGAGCAAAAGATTCACACAGGAAGGGGCTTATGAGGAAGAAGAGGGGATGATCCAGATTGGGGGGCCAGTGTTCAGATGACTGTAGTAGACAATGTTGACCTTAAGACGACATTTCATCACAGTGGGATCTTCAAACTACCATCTGTCTTTCCAGAGCTGATTGGGAATCCTGTATTTGTTTTCCAAAAAGCTAAGATTTTTTTTTTCTCTTCTCTCTATTGGATGGAATTGTATTGTGGTTACACCAGTAAAGAGTGAAGACTGGCAGTTACAATCACAAGACTATTTGGACTTGTTAGGTTGGGGCTTTCCAGGCCAAGGGTTTCTGTGTGTGTGTGTGGTGGTGGTGAGGAGCTATGGATAGTGAAGAATTTTAGAGGCTTTAGAGATGGCACTGGGAACCTCCAGGCCAGGGAGCCCAGAGAGTTGGATATTTCTAAAACATACCACTCTTGGGTGTTTCAGCCTAGCTGTCTACTCAAACCAATGTCCTGGGCTTCCCTGGGGAGTGTGTGAGACAAACCCCTTGCAGGACTGTTTTCAGGACTCTGATTTGTATGTATGTAAAGTTGGCAATGTGCTGTTCTAAGCTGGAAGCCGAGCAATGAGGTGAGGTGTGGTTAGCAATTTAAGGGGGGGGGGGCAGGAGCAAAAAAGCCAAAGCATGAGGCAAGTGCACAAGGCCTGAAGCTGCCTCGGTTAGGACCCTTCCCACCTGGCCACAGCCTGCTGTGACCTCCCATGTCCTTTCTTGCCTCAGACAGGTCCCCTTTGCTCAGGAGCTGGGCGGCTCCCAAAGCAGGGGCCTGCTGGGAAGCTAAGGCAGAATGTAGGGACACTGGCCCTCCTTCCCACTTCTTCTAGGGAAGCTTACGCAGTGGGTTGGATCAGGGAGGGCACCTCAGTTAGGTCTTTCCTGGTAGAGGCTTCCTCTTAGCACTGGGAAGGCTAGGTGCACAGAACAAGTCCACCAGGGGTGCCAGGCAGGGGGTGTCCCAGCTTCCCAAAGATAGCCAGCTGCCTCTCAGGTCTGCCTTGCTGGCATCACCACGTGCCAGGGCCTTCTGGTTCAGGAGGGCCGGAGAAGGTCTGTGGGAGTGAGTGGCAGGAGCTGAATGGAGGGAACATCACAGTGCTCTCTCCTCCGCGGAGGTTCTGCGTAGGTTTTCCCGGACTCTGATGAACTCAGGAGCCTGGTCCTCTTCTCTCTGTGGTGGGTTTTCCAGCTGGAGGAGAGACACACCTGTGAATTTGGCAGGGCTGTGGGGGGGGGGGCTCCTATTTTCAAAAGTCATGGTGTTGGACCAAAGGTCCTGTCAGTGGGAAAGTAGAAGAACCCTGGGGTGGGTTTTGCAAACCATCCCAAAGTGGTGGTGGTGGTAGGGTGTATCAGGGGAGTAGATGCTTGAGAGTCATCAGGATTATCATAAAACAAAACAAAACAAAACAAAACAAAACAAAACCCTACCCTCACTCCAGGAAACATCAAAACAGTATGCATGAGGAAATCCCATCTGTTGTAATTAAGAAAAGCATCACTGGAGAGAAAGACACCATGCAACAGGGTTCAAGCAGAGTCTTTTTCTTTTTCTTTCTTTCTTTTTTAATTAAGGAAAGGGGTCATAAAAAGGGGAAAGGGGCTGGGGGAGACCAGCCTCTGGGGACAGAGGAAAGAGGAAAGAAGGGGGAGGGAGGGGAGGAGGGAAAGAGGGACGAAGGGAGGGGGAGAGAAGGCGAGAAGGAGAGAGGGGAACAGACAGAGAAAGGGGGAGAAAGAGAGAGAATGATGGGAGGTGGGCAGGGCCCTTTTAAAAGGGAACATGGTGAATATGCACAGGTGGTGCTCTTAGTGGCTGCAGCTGAGGGCGTATTCTGTCAGAACCCCAAGGACAAGCCTGTACAGATGCCTGAACACTAACACCACCATCTCTGAATATGGGCAAAGGGGTGGGGTGATGTGTAAATGACCTCTTAAGAGTCAGGCTGCTTGCAACCTGGGGTTTTGAGCCCTGGACCTGTTGCAACTTTCTAGTCCATTCGTGAGTGGTTTCCTCTTCCTTAATGAACTTCATCTCTGCCACTATGCATGTCCTGGCCAATTCTCCCAGGACACAAGAACCTGAAAATGTCCCCACTCGGGGACAGAGTAAGAGACCAGGTTCTCCTTGGGATGCCTGGTTCAAATTGTTTATTCCTCTGGCCTCAGACCCCGCCCCCAGCTCTAAAATGGAAATGGCCTCTGCTCTCATATCAGATCTAACTTGCTGGTTGTGGATCTCACAGGAAAGTAGGGTCAGAGAAGTGAAGCCATCCATTGCTAGAGTCACACAGCAGGCCACAGGGAGATTTCTAGCAGCATGGCTACCTTCCTTTGGGGCTTTGGAGGAGGCTTAGGCTGGAGTTGCTCTCTCCTACCCACCTGATTCAATCTCTGCTGTCTTCTCAGCAACTCCTGCTTGAAAGGACACTGAAGCCGCTTAGCCTCCAGCTCCTCCTCCTTCTTCTTGATCAGCTGATTTCGGCGTCGGTGCTCCAGGACCCGCTGCAGCTCAGGCTTGCTGTCCACACCGAGGCCCCTGGGGAGGCAGGAGCTATTAGGAGATTCCCTTTCCCACCTTCCCAGTCTGGGCAGGCAGTTTGCAGGGACACCAACCCGCCATTATCTCCTACAGTGCTTGGGCAACACTGGGGTGGGCGGGGGTGGGTGTGTGTGCCCTCACTGTCCCATGCTATAGAAAAAGGCAAAGAGCCACTGCCTGCAGAACACCTAGGCCGGTTGCAGCTACAACAGGAGAATTTCAGCTCAGGCCACAGAGACAAAGTGACATGTGGTTGCTTTATATTTTCTGAGAGCATCTGAAGATGGAAATGCTGGGCTGGGCTCTCTGGAAATCTCTTGGGAGTTAATTTCCTTGCAAGGACATCTGTTTATATCCAAGAAGGCAAGAGACAATGTCTGGTTTTCATGTTTCCTTGATTATCAGTCATGTGCAATGGTCTTTAAAATGTTTCTAGAATTTAATTCTTATTTTGTGTTTTTTCTTGTAGACTACGGCACATGTATACATTAATATTTATATTGTATATGTGATTTTAATATAATTTATTTATATTGCAAATATTTCAGTTTGTTTGAAGCTGTTTTTCATTGTGGTGCTGTTTTTGATACTTTAATGAATGAACACTACAACAAACAACTTAGAACATCATAATGTTACAATGTTACATGAAAACAAACACACAAACAGCCCAGAGTGTAAGGGCTGGAAATCACAACCAGCTCCAATACAACTGGCCAACAGAGGGCACCATGAAGGCAGTACCACCACCTTCAGCCTGGGCCACAGGAGCAGAATCCTCATAGTGGCTCCTCAACCACCTGAGATTGCTGATTGCAGGCATGCCACTCCCCAGATTCCCCTTGGCTCTTCTGCTTCACAGCTATCCTCTTGCCCGATAGGCTGTGAAGGAACCATCACGGCCTGATACCTCAGCAACATCTGTGTGCTCTCTAATACTGTCTGCTGACACAACCTATCTCCCACCAGGGAGGCTCCTGTCCCCGCTTTAGATCATTCAGGAATCATCTCTTCCACGAATTCATTTAGACAGCCCCATACTCCTCTAGAGCCTCCATCAAGGCACACACTGTCTTGCCTGGTATTCTTTCTTTGTCCTCTGGGAGGGCAGGAACTTGGCCTCCTTTTTTTTTGTATCCTAGCTGAGGACATGGCGCCTTACATGCCTTGCATGCAATAGGTGTTGAGTAAGTATGTTGCATCTGTGGAATCCAAGCATGCAACAAGTGGCTGGGAGAGAGGATGTGGCGTTCAGGGTCTCACAGGTTTTTTTCTGGTGACCCTGTGGGACTCCAGACAATGGCCAGGGCATCCTCCCTAGGGAACATTTCTAAAGCACAGCAGGTCTGTGTGCAGGGTAGGTATCGCTGGGCCAGGAAGCTGGGTGCCATTTACCTTCTGTGGTTCATTAGCAGCTCTCGGTGTAGCTCTTGGTGGCTTCGGGAGGCCTTCACAGGGTTCAGCAGCTTCTTGGGTTTGATGAGCTCTGGATTCCACTCTCTATACTCTGGCCGAGCCATTAGTCCCCCGATGTCTGCTCTCTCCCTCTGGATCTCCGAGTACATTGAGGCTGTAGTGATGGGCAATGAAGTTACTTTAAGGTTGTCCACAGTCCTACCCACTCCTTGGGGGGCACAGCTTAGTGGGGATTCTCTCAAATGGATCTTGGCTTCTAAGCAACTTGGGTAAGCAATCTGGCCATCTGAATCTTGCTTTCTGCCTCTCTGTTGTGGGAAACACCTATATTAAATGGTTGCTGTGACTATTGGAGATGATGCTTGTAAAATGTGTGGGGTACAGAAGTAACATGACACCAAGGCTCAAAATATGGGCTGTCATGGGACTGGAGAGATGATTCATTTTGGAAAATGTTTGCTATGCAAGCGTAAGGACCCGGGTTAGATTCCCAGTGACTGTGGAAAAAGTGTGGCATGATGCTGCGTGCTTGGAGCTCCAGCACCCTGAGGCAGAGACAGGTGGACCTCTGGAGCTCATTGGCTAGCCTGTGTATCCTAATGAGTGAGCTCCGTGTCCCAGTGAGAGACCCTGTTTCAAGAGACAAGGCACAGTCTGAGGAATGGCATCCAAGGATGACCTTTGGCCCCCACATGCATGTGTACACATGCACATCTTTGATATATATATATATATATATATATATATATATATATATATATATATATCTCAAAGAGCACATACATGGGTTCTCACTGGCTGTGCCGGACAGTTTTATGTTAACCTGACACAAGCTAGAGTAATATGAGAGGGGAAAACCTCGATTGAGAAAATGTCTCCATAAGATCTAGTTGTAGGCAAGCCTGTAGGACATATGATTGGTGTGGGAGGTCCTAGTCCATGGTGGGTGGGGCCATCCCTGGGCTGGTGGTTCTGGGTGCTAGAAGAAAGCAGGCTGGGGGTTCCTATGCCAGAGATGGAAAGTACAGACATGGGAACGCTGAGATTAAATGGTATAATTCTGCTGTCAGCTACAGGTATTGACATGTACTCATTGTCCTGGGTGGTTTTGATTGTCAGCTTGCCATGACCTAGAAGAGAGCCACCATTGGGGAACTGTCTAGATCAGGTTGGCCTGTGGGCATGTCTGTAGGAGATTGCCTTGGTTGAGAAAAGAAGTGTGAAGCTCCAACTCGAATATGGGTGACACCATTTCTTGAGCTGGACCCTGAACTCTTTGAGAGTGAAGAAAGCTAGCTGAGCGGAAACATCAAGCAAGCAGCGGCAGCACTGAGCATATTCACGTCTGTGGGTGTCATGTGACTAGCTGCTTGAGGCCTGCATTTGACATCCATGAACTGATGGGCTGGACTGGACTGTAACCAAATGAACCCTTTCATCCATCACAAAACAAAACAAACAGACAAAATAACAAAAAACAAAACAAAAACCCAGAAAGCAGGCTGTTCCAGCACTCGGGAGGCAAAGGCAGGCAGATCTCTTGTGAGTTCGAGGCCAGCCTGGTCTACAGAGTGAGTTCTAGGACAGGCTCCAAAGCTACAGAGAAACCCTGTCTCAAAAAACAAAAAATAAACAAACAAACAAACAAAAATAAAGCAGGCAAGCAAGCCATGGGAACAAGCCAGTAAGCAGTCCCCTCCATGGCCTCTGCAGCTGCTCCTGTCTCCAGGTTCCTGCCTTGTTTGCGCTCCTGTTCTGACTTTCTTTGGTAATAAACAGTGCTGTGGAAGGGGCAGGCAAATAAACCCTTTTCTCCCCAAGTTGTTTTAGGCCATGGTGTTTCATCACAGAAATAGTAACCCTGACTAAGACACTGGCAGAGAAAAAAAAAATTCCTCAAACAAAAGGGATTATGTTTGAGTCTCTGCTTTTCAACAAGCTTGTACTAGAAGAGAAAAAGGTATAAAGTGTGTGTGTGTGTGTGTGTGTGTGTAGCTGTTGACAATTTAGATAAATGCCATGGTAAAAACAAAACAGTATCCCTTATTGCCACACTCGCTAGCCATAGTTCCCAAGGCCCTGGTAGGGGTGCACCTTTCCCCATTTTCCACACCAGAGAGAAGTGTGTGAAATGCAGGGGCTGCTGTGTCCCTGTTACAAAGGGATGGTAGTCATCTTATCTGCCAAGCTCATGTGTGACTGCTCTTCGTCCCACTTCTACCAGAGTACTGAAACTTTGTCAGTGTACTTCAGATCTAGGTAGAAAGACTTCTCTGCCACAGACACCTGTCTGTTCTTGAAATGCTTTAGTGAGAGGAGAGGAGGAGAGGACAGGAGGAGAGGGGAGGGGAGAGGAGAGGGGAGAGGAGAGGGGAGAGGAGAGGAGAGGGAAGGGGAGAGGAGAGAGGGGAGGGGAGGGGAGGGGAGGGGAGGGGAGAGGAGAGGGGAGGGGAGGACAGAAACGTTCTTTAAAAAACAAGTCATAAGGGGACAGCGGCTGCCTGGCTGTTAGCGGTTTAGAGTAATTACGGTGAATGTTAGATGAAAGTTCTGCATCCCTCAGCCTAGCTTTCAAAATGCACCTTCACCCCCTTTTCTGAGACAGGTCTTTCTCTGAAGCCCAGCCGGTGAGACCTTGTAGCCCTCCTGCCTCCACTCTGAAGTACAATCAGCGTCAGACAGCATTCGTCAGCACACCTAACTTCTGTGAGAGGGCAGAGCAAAGCCTGGTCTAATGTGCGGTGGGCACTAACAATGCTATTGGTGATGAAACTTATGAGGCTTTGGGCTTGGGGATCCTTACCCCTAAGTTGGTTTCCCTGTAGCAATGGAGGTAGCATTGCCTCCACCTCATGCACTGAGATTCCACAGTCTCTCAATCTCTCTGTCTCTGTCCCTCTCTCAGCTTAGACTGGCCTTGAATTTGTATAGTTGAAGATAACCTTGAATTTGTACTTCTGCCTCCAATCCCAGCAACAGAAAAGTATTAATCATCTGAAGGTATTCTGGTAGCCAGGTGAGGTGTCATTGTGTAGAAATATCTGCTTTTTTAAAATTCAAAATACTTTTTTCATACACTCTATTCTGGTCAGTTTCCCCTTCCCCATCTCCTCCCCACCTCCCCATCCACCCAATTCCATGTGTTCTTTCTCTAGCTTTTGTTGAGGGCACAGAGGCCCTTGTGCTCACAGAGATGCACTAAGAGAACCAGGAATGTTAATCACACAGAGTGTCTCCTCAATGGAGGAGGAAAAATCAGTTATCTGCATTCCATCCAGAAGGCTGGGAATGGGTTTTGTTAAGGACCTGGTGAACCTCTTATGCTATCTATGGGGGCAGAGCTCACCCACCCTGTGCTGTAGAGGCAGACCTCACCCACTTTCTACTGTAGAGACAGACCTCATCCACCTTCTACTGTAGAGACAGACCTCACCCACCCTCTGCTGTAGAGGCAGACCTCACCCACCTTCTACTGTAGAGACAGACCTCATCCACCTTCTACTGTAGAGACAGACCTCACCCACCCTCTGCTGTAGAGGCAGACCTCACCCACCTTCTACTGTAGAGACAGACCTCATCCACCTTCTACTGTAGAGACAGACCTCATCCACCCTCTGCTGTAGAGGCAGACCTCACTCACCCTGTGCTGTAGAGGCAGACCTCACTCACCCTATGCTGTAGAGGCAGACCTCATCCACCTTCTACTGTAGAGGCAGACCTCACCCACCCTGTGCTGTAGAGGCAGAGCTCATCCACCCTGTGTTGTAGAGACAGACCTCACCCACCTTCTACTGTAGAGACAGATCTCACCCACCCTCTGCTGTAGAGGCAGAGCTCATCCACCCTGTGCTGTAGAGGCAGACCTCACCCACCCTGTGCTGTAGAGACAGACCTCACCCACCCTCTGCTGTAGAGGCAGACCTCACCCACCCTCTGCTGTAGAGGAAGACCTCACCCACCCTGTGCTGTAGAGGCAGACCTCACCCACCCTCTACTGTAGAGGCAGGTCTCACCCAAATCCCCAGAATGATTATCCCAGACTCTTTCCTCCCAGACGGTCACTCATCCTTAGGTGAGACATCACATGTACTTTATGTCCTGCTGACCTCTATTAGACCACATTAGATTCTAGATCTATTAGCCAAGAGCCCACCCTCATGACCAAATATACCCTGTAAAGGAGTATCTTATGTAGCCACGCCTTAAACTTTATCATGTGCCTGAAATGGGAATGATTGGGTGAATTGGTCCCCAGAAACCTTTTTCCAAATGGTACTGTTTTAAATATGCTGACAATGAACCACCTGGCATTGGACTGTCCTAGGTGTGACTCATGTTGACCAAGTCACTCTGCACAGGGATTCATTCTCATCCCTTTATATGGTTTGTTTCCCTCCACGACATCTGTGGGGAATCCTCATCTCTTCAAAAAAACAAATGGGCACATTAAAAAAAATATGAATAAAAACAACAACAAAAAAGCACAAGAAATACCCCCCCACACACTCACACAAAACAAAACTCATAAAAATACAAAATCAGAAACCACTATATACAAGCAAAAGACCAGTAAGTTATGAAAAGTGTACAAATAAAGCAATTGGTATGAGGCAAAAAGTCTACAGAAATACTACTGAATTCATTTTCTGATGGCCTTCTAGTCCTGAGTGTGGCGCCTCCATTAAACGTGGTTTATATACCCAGTGAGACTCCAAATTTCTTTTTGCAAGCAGTTGTCAATTGGAAATAGCTTTTTCATTAGGGATGAGAGCTTGTGTCCAATTCCCCTCTCAGTACTGGGACCCCATCTAGCTTGGACCTGTGCATGTCCTATACCTCTGTTTTTGTTTTGTTTTTTTAATTGAATTAGCATTTTCAGAATCTTTTTTTTTTTTTTTTTAAGACAGGGTTTCTCTGCATAGCCCTGGCTGTTCTAGAGACCAGGCTGATCTCCAACTCACAGAGATCCACCTGCCTCTGCCTCCCCAGTACTGGGAAAAAAAGGTTTGTACCACCATGCCTGGCTTGGAAACATCTTTGGAATAATAATTATTTACTTTCTCTATCTTTCTGATAAGGCAATTTTTTCAGCTTATATTCTAATTTTTTGGTTCTTAAAAAATAGTCATGACGCACCCTAGTTATTTATTTGCT